TAATTTGCCCCTCTTCCTTCCTTCTTTCTCTTAACCACCAAGTCTATAAGGGAGAATAATTTCATCCCCAAACGGGCACTCTCCTGATCTGTTGCCTAAGGTCCTGTGATTTTTTTAAGTCTCTTCTTTTTGATTTCCCAATAGCGAATGCTTTAATAGTTAAACTAAGACCAGACCTTAGTATTTTCTCATCAAAGTAGGTCTTTATTTCTAAAAGCAATTTTAATTGTGTATTATCACTCCTGCTTCAATCCATTCACTTCTCAAATTTATTTTATTTTATTTTATTTTTTTTTTAGCTGAGCCATCCTGCCACCTGTTGGCAGTTCAGCTCGGGCCGGGAATCGAACCGGCGACCCTGTTGCTCAGAGCTCACACTCTTGAGCGAACTCTTAACCAACTGAGCCACTCGGCCAGTCCCACCTCCCACCTTTTAAATGTTAGCCGCTGCAGTCTTCACTGAACACTCTCTATAATGGGCTCTGAAGCTGAGAAGACTAGATTTGTATATTTACTTCTCTACTAAATAATTTCAAGTTTGTAATCTGTCTCCTGGGTGTGCTGAAGGAATAGATTATGGTTAGATGGTTTTATATGATCTCTTTGTTGATCTGTATGAATTTTTAGAGAATGTGTGGGGAAAAAAATTAAGAGTTAGGTGGCTACCACTATTCTATGGCAATCCAGGAGTCTCAATTCATCAAGATTTGTCAATGTATTCTTAGTTGACCATTTCTCTAGTCTCTTCTATTCTTCAAATACTATATTTATTTAGTAAATTACTGAACCTTTGGTAATTTATGATTAGCACCAGTCATACGCCCTCATGGACAATAAACACAATAACTAGAAGAGCCACATGATACAAAAATAAATGAAGAAGTGAACAACAATGAATTCAGTTTGCAAAGGAAACATACTACTTCTGTGGTGCATTTGATAACTTAGGATAAAAAAGTGAAATCTAGGTATTACTATGAAAGGATTAAGTGAAATAATTTTTCATTTCCAGTATAACAGCAGCAGTCTTTCAAGTTCAGTGATTGCAGATTTAACATAAAAACAGTTGATACTAAGTTTCAAAGTCCCTTCATAAAGAAATAATTTAGGCACCTGATGATAAGTCTGTTCAGAAATATTAAAGGCATAAAGCAGACTAAAAGCAAATGATAACACAAAATTCTTACTGTTAGAGAAGCTTCATAGAGTAACCGACATTAGCAGCTTGTATGCATAGTATGGTATGCTTAGGAGTATAGCCTACAAGGGAGCCAAAAAGCAATATAGTGAATAAAATAAAGAACAAGGGCTAAGAAATAACCTAAGAATTCAACAGGTAGGTGAGTATTATGACATAAGGTTAGAAATGCGGAACTAGATACAAAATATTTTTTTTCTTTAGAGACAACTAAACGTGTTCTCTCACAGGGCTGTTCTCTAGAAAATAAACAATCATGATTCTTGTATGAAACAGGGATTGTAACCAGGCAATTAACTAAACAAAGTTAAAGTACAAAGGCAAATGAGGCAATGAGCAATGGAAAGCAGCCTAATCTCACAGGAAAAGAATTGAAATCTGTGTTGGTGATCGTGCTGGCACTGTTTTGTGGTTCTCCCAGAAATGCAACATGGTCCCCATGCTCTTACTATGGAATAGAATTTTTATAATAAATGGACTGTGAATTTTTCTTGCCTTTGGGCCTTTGATTTATGCTAATAGCTTGCCTTGCAAGGTGATTTAGATGTCATACTATCTAAAGACAATTTCTGTCTTAATGTTTAGAGATGAAAATAGGTGGTGTATTTGTTTTAAATTTTCAAATAAGCATGCATGAAATAGAGTAACCATACTACAATTCAACAAGCATTTATTGAGAATCTTCTAATTATTCTCTAAATCAAAACAGAGACCAGAATAAATAGAGGTTGATTTCTTGGCTAGTAGCCTTCATATATTTACTAAAAACATTTTAAAACTGAGATCTGAAGTATTTATACGTGTAAATGAATGCTTCAATAGTCATTTAGATCAGAGATTTACTCAAAACGTTTGATTAAACAAAATGTTTTCCATAAAATCTAATTAGTATGCAAATTTTCTAAGCCTTATCTCATAAGATCTAACACATATACTGTATTTAATGTTACCCAATAAAAAGACAACCACTCTGAAGTCATACATCAAATATTGTAATTTCAGATTATAATCATTTGTAATATACAATTCAAATATACTAAATTCCCACAGTGTAAAAATTTTTAAAGTGTAATTTCTTTCCTTTCAGTAATGTCCTTTCTAATGACAGCTTAGTAGATTATAAAATAAAACTTTAAGTTTAGATTCCCATTACACACATTACCACCTTATACTTGTTCAGAATGCAGAACTGTTTCTTAATGAGACGCAATTCTGGTGCAGTGATATTTCTAGTTAAAACATCTGACAGTGAGGAAAAATTATGAAACTAAAAGGTCTCTGTGTTAAAAAAACAAACAAAAAACCCCCCAACAAACCAAAACCAAAAACTAGCACAGATTCAACTAAGTTATATGTTTTATAACTTTACCCTTAAGAGGACAGAAGTAGCAATGGAATAATCACTCTATTCAGGGAAGTAAGAACTGTAGAAAATAAACATCTTACTGGTATTTTTACTTTTTTATTGTTTAAAAGCCAGATGCTAATTTTATAAAAGATATCAATAAATACCTATATAATAAATATACCAGTCTATATAGCTCAAGGGGAAAAAAACACATTTAAATATCATCTTCCTCTTTAATACTAACAATTTGAAACTATTTTAAAGAAAAAACAAAAATTTAATATTAAAACCTAGCTTCTGCATACACTTTCACATTCTGTAAACTCAGCAAAAAAGTAGCAATTTATGTAGAATGTAATTTTTTATTAAATCCAAACTCTGATTCTGCCAGAGCAAAGTAAGTAAGGTTATAGGATGTTTCCCTGTCCTTTAAATGGTGATGATAGTACCTCCTTATGAGCTATAGGAATGATAAAGTAAGATAACAGATGTGGTCCCAAGTCCAGTGCTGAGGACACAGTAGGTGCTTGAACAATGATAGACATCACTCTTAAGTGAAAGACTGGATCTATCTGCAGGAACTCCCTTACATCAAATCTTTTGTGTCAATAGTCTTAGATGTGAAGAACACAAATTTTGATATAGAGTCTTAAAAGACATTCTTTTTGTTATCTTCCTGGGGAGTCAACAGTTGTAATGGTAGGGTTTATTGTTTTTATTAATATCTTTTGGCTGTTTAGCTTTAGTATTTCATGATTCACAATTTCAAGACCATTTTCAATAAATGAGTTCGATGAGTAAGTCTGCAATGGGTCTGAAATTTAATCCAACAATTATATACTTCTCAGTGTTTCTTGAATCTGTTTTTTAAAAAAGTTATAAACTTTTCCTTCCCTTTTTCATTTCTCTTCTTCATCTCTCTGTCTACCAGTCTTTCAAGGAGAGGACTGAGCAACCCTCCACCAAGGACATCACCTCCAGTCCTTCAGTTCTTGAACAAATGGCCCATTTAGAAAATTCTACTTCTTTCTAAATAGAGAAAAACAACAACAACAAAAAACTGGGCTATTAAAAACAAATGTTATAATAAAACAACTCTTCAAAAAAATGAACTTGAGATACTCAATTTACTTAGACTAAGTACGTGTGTGAAAATCAGGTCATCATCGCATGGTTCTTTAAACAGTGCTATCCAAAAGAACTTACTGTGATCATGGAAATAGTTTATATCTGTGATCCTTCATAAGGTAGTCACTAGCCAAATAGAGATATTGAAAAGTAAGACTAAGGAACTTAATTTTTAATTTGATTTTTAGACTTAAATAACCACATGTATCTACTACAGTGGATAACACAGCCTTAGACACTCTCCATTCCTGTCTTTCTTCGTTAGCACCGTGAGCCTTATCCAGAAGCACTTACTGAATTCTTGTTTTAAACAACTCTTCTGGGTTATCCCTAACATTAAATAGCTTGACAGAGTTATAATCTCAAAAACAAAGAGAATTACTGAAAAAGAATTTTCAAAGCTGGCTTTAAAATGTGCTTTTTGATGAAAAGTACTATAATCAATTACTCTAGGTTTTCTAACCAGTTTACTAAAAAAATAAAAAAATAACACATACATCTTTTGAGTGCTTGAAATTGAAACTTTTAATAATATATATATATATATATATATATATATATATACATTTTTTTTTTTTTCTCCTAAGTTCTTTGTCAGCTATGAAAGTAGTCCCAGGATAAGATGATGGAGTAATTGAAAACAAGTATAGTGCAAACCATAGCAAGACCAAGCAGAATTAAGGGAACAAATGAAAATCATTCTGTACCCGTCTACTCACAGTCATAATACAGAAATTAATCAACAGGTAGATCAAATAAAACAATACAATGTGCTTCTCAATGAAAAGTTGTCTAATTATCTGCAGCATTATTTACCATACCACTAAAGATCAAGGCTTACTTTAATTTTAAGAGATTTTGGATGACCGCTAATGATTCTTTCTAATTAAATCTAAGCATACACATTATTTTAAAATAAAATTATTAAAAAGGTGGCCATAAAATGTCAGGAAAAAAATGTGTTTTAGGCTCCCTTCTATTTCTCCTCCCCAATCTCCCTATATATAAACAGTCTTTTTTTTGAAGAATAGGTGTTAAGAAAAACCACTGTGGTGCTTATCTGTTAGGAATGAAATAATGGCATCTCTCTGGGATTGGCATTAATGTCACCACTAACAATCAATTCCTCCTTTCTTCTGCCTATAAACTTGGCTTTCGGTACCATGGGGGTGGCTATGGGGGATAAGGGCATGGAACATGTAAAACAACCTCAGTATTCAGGGACAGAGTTCAAAAGAATTCAAGTTATGTGATAAACTCCATACCAATTTCAGAATGACAGCTGATTTTGTTGTTTGCCATTTGAGTAAATATAATGAAACTTACTATTTTGAGCCAGGGCTTGAAGCAGACAGTCCAAGCATCCTTCTAAACTATCCTCCGTTCTGTCAACAGCTGTTATCTTCAGCTTCTTCAAGGTATCACTGAGATTATCTGCTTATAGAATTAAAAAAAGAAATCAGAAACCTCACTAACCATATGGTCATCATACGTTACATGACAAACAATTACCACTAACAGGCAAAGGGAACTCATTATAGTGAATTAACTGTCACATGCATTCCAAAATGGCAATGGACTATTACTATTATACATTTTTAGAATAAAATTCTGTCCATTTAACTCAGATATGAAATATTCATTCTGTATATGTAAGATACCAGGAATATCCCATTGATTGTTACAGAAAATCTTTTTTGGCCTTCTCATACCTTATTTAGTTTGTTCAGGAAACCAGCCATAGTAAACTAAAAAAAAACTAAAGCCCACAAAAAAACTGGATAGCTTTGCAAATAGTATTTTGTTTCATTTTATGCTTCCCCTGTTGTATTTTAAAGACATAGAATAACAATGAAGGTTTACAAAAGTTTCAGAATAATATGAATTAAAATAATACAAAGTCTGATAACTGTAAAACCTACTTTAACACTGCCAATTAAAAAAGACTTCAAATGAAAATATTGCTTTAAGCCAAAACATGTACATTTTTTATTACAAAGCTATGCTCTCTTTCTAAATTATATGTGGATTCCTTGAGACCACAAATTATCAAAATCTCTTTACACTATTAAAAATTATTCAGGATCCCAAAGTTTTTTTTTACATCAATTATTTCTACTGATATTTAACATACCAAAAATTAAAACTGAAACTTTTAAAAGATTTATTTTAGCAATTAATTTAAATCTAACAATTATAAAACTATTACCTGTTAACTTATTTTAATGAATAATAACTATATTTCAAAAACAAAAGAACCTATCAAAAAGGATGGTATTATTCTATAAATATTCATCTGTCTGCCTTAATAGAAGATAAGTGGATTCTCATATCTGCTTCTACACTCAATCTTTTGCAATTTGTTATTTTGGTTGAGTACATGAAGAAAATTCAGCCTCATCACATATATACATAGTTGAAAGGAGTATAATCTAATAGCATTTTCCGATAATCATAGATATTCTTTGATACTACACCAAAATTTACAAGTGGTAGTTTTTAAAGCTTAGTTGCCATGTGAAATCTGAAACAATCTTAATGAACATTTCCAACTATTACATTAAAATCCATTGTTCTCTTTCACTTTGAATCGTTATGCATGCAAGATAATTATCATCAATGTATTGGTCATTAAAAAAACATTAGGTCACAGAGTTATGCATACCTTCCAAACATTGACACATTTCATAGTATTATTTCAAAATATCACATTTGTTAATATCATCTATAATCTTATTAAAAGACTCTTTTAAGTACTGGGCAGTGGGGTCAAGCTCAAGGTGATACAAGTCTTCCAAAATTCTAATTTTTTCTTAAAAACTCCAATTTTATCACCAGCAACAAACACTGTCAGTTCTTTTCCTTAAATGACAAATTAACCTCATTCATTTGTGAGAAAATGTGTGCCAAATATGAAAAAACATTTTGACAGTTCGTTTGAATAAAAAATGTTATTCCATGAACAAAAAGTACCCCTCGGTCAGCTTACAACTCAAATAACTGCACAACTGCTTTTCTTCAAAACCACCACCAGGTTTTGCAATGTAATGAAAGTGTTTTATTAGATACTTACCATTTTTTTTAATGTGTACACAAAGGTTAAGATTTTTAAAATATTTTCCTGCTTCGTCATAGACATTCTTAAGTGAAACTGGTGTATTTTATTTCAGGTATATGATGGTGAAGAATACCATAACTACTAGTACAGTTTGGTGCTGCTACTACCCTGATTCACACAGACTACAGCCCTGGCAGTTTTTCACCCACAACTGCTTTTGCACCACTGTCACTACAAGTGTGAAAAAGTAAAAAAGTGAAAGAGACAAATAATGTCTTGATGGTATTATGCAAATAGTTATGACCTCATTGACACCCTAATAGAATACCAAGAATCCCCCAGGATTGCTGTTCTTGTATTAGAATTTCAGGCATTTTCTTACTTCAAATTAAGGTATAGATTTTAATAGACTTTTATACATTACCAGCTCATAACAATTCTACAAATATAATGGAATTCCCTGTTATAAAATGAGAAATTTATTTTCTATGTCAACCCAGGAAAAAGTAGTCTTAAAAATGCACATCAAACACTAACATGCTCTAGTTATGCCTAGTACAAACTATGGCTAATCTAGTAATCCTATACCTATATTTTATTAAAAATCCCAGGTTATCATTTACAGCCAAATTTAATATTTATTTCCTTATATATGCTTGTTAAATCTTATTAAATAGATATTAGTTGAGCTTTCTGAAATAAAGTATAAATAATGTGTAATATCTAAGTTCATATTACTAAAAGTCATAAAAAGTAATCATCACAACATTGAGAAAAAAATAAGACTTGTGAGTCAAATTACAGCAATTTATCAAAACTATCAGTCAACAAGTAATAAAAGCAGTTACAACTTATTTAGTACTACCCATATTGGCATCTAGGTCTTTTTAAATTCGTCCTTTATCCCATCTGCAGTGCTCCTTCCTTGCCATCCTCTCCTCATCAAGTCTCAGCCTAGACGTCACCACCCCAGAGACCATCCTCGCCCATTCTATCTAAGTCTTCTCCTCTTCCTTAACCCTCCAGGGTCATTCTCCATTACTGCACTCGTCTTCACAGCACTACTCACAATTTGTAATTATATTTTTTGTTTAATTTTTAATATATGCTTCCCCACTATATTGTATGGAGCACCTTGTTAGTTCCAGTAGTCTCTCCTGTATCTGCAGTTTCACTTTTCAGTTCATTTACCCATGGTCAACTGCAGTCCAAAAACATTAAATGGAAAATTCCCCAAATAAACCATTCATGAATTTTAAATTGCACCTTTTCTAAAGAGCCTGATCAAACTTTTCACCTTCCGACTCCGTCCCACCCCGGGCGTGAATCATCCCTTTGTCCAGCTATCCATGCTGTGTGCTCCCTGTTCATTAGTCACTTAGTAGCCATCTTGGTTATCAGATCAACTACCATGGTATCACAGTGTTTGTTTTCAAGTAACCCTTATTTTACTTAATAATTGCCCCAAAGCACAGATATGCCAAAGAGAAGACATAAAGTGCTTCCTTTAAGTGAAAAGGTGAGTATAATACAATCAGATGTTTTGAGAGAGACCACATCCACATAACTATTATTAGAGTATATTGTTATCATTATTCTATTTCATTATTAGTTACTATTGTATGTGACTAATTTATTAATTAAACTTTACCATAGACATATATGTACAAGAAAAAAACATAGTATATACAGGGTTCAGTACTGTCCTTGGGTTCAGGCATCCACTGGTGGTCTTGGAACATATCCCCCTCAGATGTATACTGTATAGTCGTTGCATTATATATGTGCACTTGGCACATAGGAGGTACCCAGTAAGTATTTGTTAACTGACTAAATAAGGAAATGAATTTTGCATTTGCAGAAAGCTGTCTAGTTACCATTCTTTGTATCATACAATTTAAGAGCAAAGTGTGCCAATACGGAAAGGAAGGTAAATGTTACCTGTTAAGCATCTACTATGCATTCTATATTACCAAAAGTAGAAATACAGGATCTTACGTTTTTAAGGTAGGAAGAGATCAGTGAAGCCAATTTAACTATTTAAGAACATATAGTATATAACTAAAAATTACATAGAACATTCCACTTTTAAAAGATTTCTAATCAGTAAAAAATCATTCAGTCTCTCCGTGGGAATAATTACATGCCTATTAATGATGCGATATCTTTTTAGGGAAAGTTCTTTAAATTCTTTATCTAGAGACAACCAAAGCTATCAACAGGATTATTACAAATTTAACATGGTTTTAAGCATTTTAAATGAACTAACAGGTTAGTACTCAAAGAATTCTTACTGTGAATCAGTTTATAAAACAAAGTGTTAGAATGTTCTTTGTGTTAATTGGAATAGTGATTACATGGATATACATTTGTCAAAGCTCATCAAACAGTACATTTCAAATCTTGTACATTTTAGTTTGTGTGAATTATACCTCAATTTTAAAAGAGTATGTTGGTAAATACAATGATTGGGGTGGGAACTCCTTTCCCACTGGCCTCAAGCTTCCTTATGGAGAAATTCAATTACAGAGACACTCCTGCTCATTTCTGCCTCCTCCCTTGGCAACTGCCCACCAACCCCTCCATTCTCCAGGAGAGGAATGATTGATCTGATTAATAAGTTGAAAAAAAAAGAACTGGATATGCTTGGCTCAGTCCCTCTTGGGTTCCTAATCTTTTAGAAGAGTCTAAAATTCTCTGTTCCTCCATAACTTTAGCTGTCCAGCTGCACCAGTGAAAGATTTGTAAACATATCTAATTCAGTCTTGAAGTATTAGCAGTGCCTTTGTGACTGTACAAATGAGCCCTGTCCTTCAATTGAGACCTTATCAATTTTAAAGCTGTTATTTTTAATTCAATCAGAAGACTCATTTGCTTGTATCTTCAGTGATTCTGAACTTGGGTAAAATACAGAGGGTATTATTTTTGGTCTCTCTCAAACCAAGACAGTGTATCTCAATAGTGAATCTTTATCATTCAAATTTTTTGTGTAAATCCAGATTTCTGTACTTATATTTTCTTATGATTTGAGACATTGAAATTGTTCTAATAGAAAATTTCTCAGCTTCTGGCTGGTAGTGCAGGGGGGTGGGGGGAGGCGCATAGTAAATACAGAATGATAATTTTCATGAGATGTTCTAGTATTAAGAAGTATTAACAACCAAAATAATTTTTTTTTCTGAAATGAATAATCTCTTTCCTAGACGACAGCATATGTTCTGACTGGTCTTGTGAAAGAAAATATGACATCTTCAAAGAGTTAAAATAAAATAGAATTTAGTCATTAATTCTACGTCTCCTACTTAGCCATTTCATCACTCTTCAAACCACAATCTAAACAAGTCCTTTAAAAGTCTCTACAAGCTACTCTGGAAAA